AGCTGATGAGTGGACGCAGTTCCCAACACCCCTTCCTAAGTTGTTCGCAGCAGCAACCATCTCATCCCATTGCTCCAACACCCCAGCCTCCAACTCCCTCATCAAATGCTCCAGCGCGATAAACGTCCCCGACCTCCCCACCCCAGCAGAGCAGTGCACAATCCTCGGATTATGCGGCCCCGCATTCTTCTCCCTCGACAAGCCCATCAGCGTAAAAAACGAGTCCAAGTCCTCCATCGCCGGGACGCCAAAATCCGGCCACTTTTTATAGAGAAAGTGCCAGAGAATCTTCTCCTCAACTGCCCCCCCCACCCCACCACCACTCGACGCACTCGATTCAGTAGGTGAGGGGACATAATCCTCCTCCAAAACAGGAACCTCGAGCGTGCCAGACGACGAGGTGGCAGCACCAGGAGACTTCATCTTGACGTCCATATCCGCGTCCCTCTCCGTTTCCCTCGTCGCCGCAGAGCTCGGTTCAGGAGTTTTATCCCGTCCGTTGGTGAAAAGCCGGACCGGAGAGCGGGATTTCTTCCTGTTTTGTCCCCCGCCGCCGCCGCCGCCGCCGCGGGAATGGATTGTAATGACCAGCTTGCGTAGCTCAATCGCGTCCCCTGCCGGGGTGGGCTCCAACCCGTCGCACCGGACCGTCGCCCTGAACCCATCCCCAAACTCATCCCTCTCGTTGATCTCAAGCGGGGGGTCTTCCTGGCTCCGTGGAAAGTAAGGAAAACACTTCTCCATGTGCCCCTCGTGCGTCTCGGTCAACATGACAATCACACCCGGCGATTCGACCTGTTCCACCACCATCCTCCAGACGTGGTCCATCGAGTTTTGCTTTGGACCCTGCATGGCGATGTACCGGTCTGGTTCTCTCGGCCGGCCGCTGATGGGGAAAGGGTGCAGGACGATGGGGGAGGCGTTGACGTAGTCGAGTTTTCCTTCTGGGACCTGGAGCTTGATCCGGTGGTTGTGCCAGGGTTGGATGTTCATGTACCTGTCCAGTTTTCGGAGATGGGGCCCTTTTACGCGAGCCCAGCGGAAGTCGGGGGAGAAGCTGGACGAGTTTTCGTTTTCGAGGCCTTGTTGGATGCGCATTCTTTCGAGCCAGACCAGTTCGCCGAATTTGAATTCGATGTCTGACACAAACACAAGTTAGTGATGTGAAAAAGTCAGGGGGAGGAAAGGGAATTACTGACCTATCTCGTTTGATTCCAGAAACGCGGGCATCTTCACCTGCTTTGGTACTCGCAACAATGAGGATGATGATGATGATGATGATGATGATGATGATGATGATGATGGCTTCTCCTTCAGTTGTTGTTGTTGTTGTTGTTGTTGTTGTTGTGGTACCTGCAGCAACTGCTGTCCAGTCTCCCCATTATTCTCCCCAGCCGTCTGTAGCCCACTCGTATCCATCTTCAAACTCAAAGGCGACACCGGCCTGCCATCAACCGAACCAGCAACCGGCGCAGTCGCCAAAGGTGAATGCGGCATCGACGCGGGAGGCGAATCGCGCGCCCGCTTCTGCGACCGGTGGAAAACCCGACTAAAAGGGCTGAGCTTCCCGCCAAACGGTCTCAGCGGCGACTCGGGCACCGGCAGAGGAAGATCGCCAGGTGGAGGGGTGATCTTTCCGGTTGGATCAGTCGTCGAGTTGTTGTTGCTGCTGCTAGGTCCAGCAAGACCGTTGGTTATCAGCGGGGGACCAGCAGGCAGCTCCTTTTTGGCCCGCCTGAACCGTGGGAGGTGGGCCATGGTTGGCATGGATGGCGGTGAGCTGAGGAGGAACAGGCGCCGCTTGATGTGCTCCGTGGCGTTACGTGTTGGGATTACGGTTTCGGTTTGGCTGTGTGTATGGCACACAACACGAAGCAGTTCGGATTATTATTATGGAGATCGTTGTGGTAGGTAGGGTAGTGTTGAGGCGGTGACTGGTTGCGCAAGAGAGACAAAAAAAAGGTTAAAACGGAGAGGGGCGATGAAACGGTTACTCGAAAGGTGAGGAGAGACCAGTGGGCGAAAGGTGCGATGGAGGGGAAAAAGTGAGGCGGAGGAGGGGACGACGAGGTAATATGTCGGGCGGTGGCGGCGACGAGGGGTAAAATAGGTCGATCTCTTTTTCACCCCCCGGTATTACTTGCAGTAGGTGAGCAGGTCACCTCTTTCGTCGGAGCCCTTCTTGTTGTTGGGTCGTCTCTTTGAAGATTAGATCAGAAAAAGGGGGCCCCAGGACAAGGCTATTATTTGTCCCTGACCCGGCCGGGAGCAAGCGAGTTTCTCTCTCTCTCTCTCTTTTGAGGAAGGTCAAACAGGAGCCTCTGGAAGGAAGGTGACGTTTTTGTTACTTGTCGCAAAGGAGACTGATGACTGGTCGGAAATGTTGCGCTTCTGCATCTTTTTCTGCAACTGACTTGGACGCCCAGAGGCGGCTGCACAGCGGGTGCTTGCAAATCCCGCTCCAGCGCTGAAATTAGCGGCAGCAGTGGACCCCCTTTTCATGGGTTAATTTTCCTTTGGAATTCCCACAGAAGCTCACCAGTGGGTGTTGGTGACCGGGGCCCTGGCCGGCTTTGCGGCTGGTGAAGAGGCCAATGAAACCTCACACCAAGCGTCATATCAGACGGATGATAATGGTATCCTACCTCGAGACACCCGTCAGGCACATCTGCCATGGCAATGGACAGCCCTGACTTGCTAGTCCTCTCACTGCATATGCAGCTGACGTGCTAACAGCCTCACGCCATCCCCTCAGTCAACAGATCGACATTGTTCTGTTGGCCACATAATAAAACAGAGAGAATTGGTCACGGACAGGTCAATGTGTGAAAAAAGGTCACCTGTGTCTCTACAAGACCTTGATCTTGTCCCTGCTCTACTTCTTCCCCCCCCTCTCCCTCTCCCTCCCCCTCCCCACCTCCTCCACCCCAACCTCAACCTGTATCCTAACCGCCTCCCTCAACTTCTGCACCACCTCCCCCTGCCCCGAAAACGCCCTCTCCAGAATCTCATCCATCTCCCTCTCCACCTTGGCCACATTCCTCCCCCCCATATTCTTATTCCCTCCCCCACCAACCTTCAAATCAACAAACACCCCCGCCCACCTCTTCGTAAAAGCAACAATGCTCCTCCTCAGCTCATCATCCAACTGCTCATGAACATCCACCTCCCCTTCTTTACCCCCTCCTCCCTCCTTGACCCCATTCCCTCTGCCTCCTCCTCCTCCTACTCCTCCCAAACCCAGCAGTGAACTTCCCGGAATATACCCCCCAATCGTCCCCCCCAAACTGCCCACCCGTTCCCAAACCCCCCTGATTAGATTCCCCCCTACCGGCTTCAATATTCCGTCCCAAATCTGCCCAAAATGCTGCATCTCCCTGATCCTCCCCGAGACCGACTGCGTACCAATATGCACGTTTCTGATGTCGCCAATCTCGAGTGTCACAAGCTCGTTCTTGAGGATAAGCAAGTTTTTAATCATAAACAGATCTGGGTCGGTACCCTTGTGGGGAGCTGCGCGGATGCGGGCCTCGGCGCGGTGAAGGCATGAGATGGACTCCCGGAGCAGGCCGAAGATGATGGGGGAGTTGCGTTGCTATTGGACAGGTTAGATGGGGGTGTGGATGGGAAAGGGGGGCGGGAGAGAGAGAGAGGGAAAACATATTACCCCACAGTCAACTGGCAAGGATTTGATCA